TGAAGGAGAGAAGCAACCTAGAACTAAGGAGAAACTTCCTGACAGTTAGAACCAGTGGAACAACCTACCTCCAGAAGCGGTGAATGCTCCAACACTGGAAGTTTTTAAGAAGAGACTGGACAGCCATTTGTCCGAAATGGTATAGGGTTTCCTGCCTGAGCAGGGGGTTGGACTAGACACCCTCCAAGGTCCCTTCCAACTTTACTACTACTACTACTACTACTACTACTACTACTACTACTACTACTACTACTACTACTATATATTTTAGAAACATACATGCTTCCTTGTGTGGAAAATAAAGGTTATTCAGAAGAACATAAATTAAAGGGAAAGAAACACACACACACACACACACAAAAATCCAGAATCCAGCAAGGGATTGAAATAAATCATTCGACTTTTAAGAGCAAAAAACAAAGTAAAATAATAAATTCAAAAAGATTCCAAAAACTGGAATCTTCAAGACTCCCCTTCTCAAATGGATCCAAAAGTTGTCCTGGGTCATTCTTGAGTATTCCCATTCAAATCCAGGCAGCAGCATTACCAGAGAAACAGCAGATCATCCGTAAGAGAGAAAAAGCCTCTTACTGTTCAGCAGCAAACTTGGGAAGAAGTCGGTCACAATACGGAATATTTCTTGATGGCAAGAACAACTCTTGCCATTAAGAAATAGTTTCACCTCACTATTCAGCCACAGGAATAATCAAAGCCCAGCTTTGCCCCAAGCGTGTTCAAGTTATTTCATGGGAACTAGGATCACCGATTCAGAGATTATTTTGCAAAGCAACATACAATTGCCCATAGCTCACCCATAAGCAACACGATGGGAACATACAGAAATATAGTTAGGATACACATTTTCTTTATTCATACTAAATCTTTTAATCTCTTCTGCTTCAAACAGCAAAGCTTTTCCATGTTTAAACAAACTGTGCTGAAGAAACTTAATTGTACAAATGATTGCTAACTATATAACCACTATAGTTCTCACATAACCATCATTCATCGAGTTACAAGTTATGATTGTGCTGAATGATAGTTATGACAGGTCCTCAAAGTTACAGCCATTGCAGTACCCCCTTACTCACATGATCAAAATTTGGGCACTTGGCAGCAAGGTATGCTTTGGTTCCCCTCATCTACCTATCTTCCCCACATCTCTATTATTTTGTCTGCCCTGCATTCTGCTGCTGCCTGCCTCTGCCACCCCTAGCTGCCTTAATCATCTTCTTCCCACTGGTGACAGGAGGTGTCTACGCCAAGACGGCTTTTGACCTTTTGTGAGGTCTGGCTCAGCATCGTGGAGGCCTCATGCAGCCTTGAAAAGGGCCAGTTGCTGCCTCAGCTGGACACACCTAGAAATGGGAGGAAGATGGTGAAGGTTAACTGGGGTGAAAGTTAGATGGTGCTGGATGGCAGGAGTAGGTGGTGGAGTTCAGTGCAACAAAAGGTCAGAGATGGGGAATGACAGGGGAACTGAAGTGGAGATGAGTGTGCTCAAGAGAAGCACGCGGTCCTTGCCTAACAACCACAGCTGGGATTACCAGAACTTCTCTTAGCAATGAAAATTCGTGTCCCGAATGAGATCGTTAAGTGAGGTCTACCTGTAATAGATAATTTTTTGTCTTTTTACGAAAATAGTAGGAAGTGTGCTTCTAAACCACCCAGCGGAAAAAGATAGTTGATTGTAAATATTAGAGAAATCAATAGAAACAGTGCTCATCAAATTAACATTAATCTCTCTCTCTCTTTCTTTCTCTCATGGAAAGGAGTCCTAGAATGGCCATTCTGGACGAAATTGGTTGTGGTAGCCATTGGATTCACTGGAGGCCTTGTCTTCATGTATGTGCAATGTAAAGTCTACATTCAGTTATGGCGAAGGCTGAAGGCTTATAACCGAGTAATATTTGTTCAGAACTGTCCAGATACTGCCAAAAAACTAGAAGAAAAAAATTCTTCCACCATTCAGAACACTGAAATTAAAGATACTGTTGTGGTTCCAGTATCACAGACAGATACAAACTTTCAGCAAACGGAAGAAACTGTTTCTGATGTCATGCCAGTTTGATGGAAGTAGCATTTCTGGGGGGAACAAAGTGAAATGTTTCTGTTAACTACAAGAAAAAAAATTCAAATCCACGGAGTATATTTGAAAAAAGAACAAACATAAAAAAAGAAAATAGCAAGGAAAATTGATAATAAGCTGCACATTACCTCTGAAATGTAAATGAGAAATGTTTTTTTTTTCACTTTTCTTGCTAAGTACAGTTAAAAGTAGAAGTGAAGAAGATAGAGAAACAAAAACTTCTAACGGGCAAATGGACATGCCAACACTACTATTGATGGCTTAAAAGAACTGCATTTGCAGAAATTCTACTGGTGTTCTGTTTACAAGAAAAAAAAAACCCTTTATGTGTATTTGCTACTATGGTCTTTTTGCTAATTATTGTAGACTTGGTTGGGGGGGAGATCAAAGCAAATTTTTAAGGTTCTTATAAAGGTATGCATCAAAGCACAAATTATCTGATTGATAATGTGATATTTAATGCTATGGTGATTACCCTATAACATTTCTGTAAAAACAACCATGCTGTTATTAAGTAATAATGAATTTTGAGTATTTGTAAACTAGAATATTAGAAATATTTTTTTTGGTCAACAATAGACACAGAAATAATTAACAGCAAATTCCTACATTCAAATTGCTACATTCATCTGGAGCAGCAACTTAGTTTGTAATTATTCTTATATAGTCGCATATTAAAACAGAGAATTTCCCGGCTGCCTATAAAATTATTCTTCTAAAGGGTAATTCATTAAATCGAAGTATTAAGACACCAGAGTACTTTTGTTAACAAAAGGCTTTACAATTTTCAGTATCTATTTATTAGGGTGAGAAATATGCAAAAATAAAAATAAAAATCAGAAGTTACAGCCCAATGATTTGTTTTAAAGATAGCCTTGAAAAAGTCAGTGTGGACAGCACTCAAATTATGACAATATTCAGTGTGAACTTAATTGACAAAGTATATGCAGTAACTTCTATACAAGAAAGAATTTTAACAGTTAAGTATTCAATAGTTCATTTGATACTATTATTATTTTAATATATTAATATAAAATGAGGGTAAGATGTTTAAATTCATATCAATATAAAAATGCAGCCTGCAGGGATCCAAAGAATAATTTGGCATCCCATTTCAGAAGTATTTACCCCGGAGGTTTAAAGAAAGTAAGATATTTACCAAAAAATAAGTATCTTATTTCTATCACTGTTATGCTTGTTGATTGTATTGTGAGTTGTGCCCAAGTAATGTGAGTTAATAAAAGAAAATAGTAATAAGGGGAACTTATTATGAAAAGTTGCAATTGGTGATTTCTAAAAGAATTATAATTCATGCTGCAGATTAAAAAAAAAAGTAAACTCTTTTTCCTAAGATGATTATACTTGTTTGTTCCATTGAGAAATTGCAAAAGCAATTAATTTCATTAAGATAAATGGGTATTTTCTCACTGATGTCAGTAAGTCAGAGCTTGTTACCATTATCAGAAATCTAGCTTGGTTGAAAAGATATTAACCATAAAGTTAATATTGTACAATACGATAGATATGACAAGAATTATAATGCTGGGAATCTTTTGGAAATGAAAACTGGGTAACTGAACTGTAAACTAAACATTTCAGATAAAAGAAAAATGTGATTATAGTATTTTGTGGTGTTTAGATGATCACATAATTTAACACAGATAATGGGAGAGATGGAAAAGAAGTCAGGCCACAAGCTGAAATCAAATTCAAACTGAGTGGTCTGCCTTTTCTTTTCTAAGTGACATACAGAAGATCAAGATATAGTTTGGGTTATATTTATAATTTGGAGTGGTAATTTATGCTTTTTCTCCAACTATAAATATTTATGATGTTACTATGCTTTTCATAGAAGATCACGATGGCATTAAGAGCTGAAAACTGAACTTATATGCAACAAAATGCACTTTCAGAATAATACTGCAATGTGAATTTCTTACCATTCTGCTAATGTTTCTGTCAGTTCAGGCAGTTAGTTGCCCAACTATATATTTTGCAGAGCCCATACAATGGAGCCCATATAGGACAACATTGTGTAAAAGGATTATCATGCATGTGGTAAAAGGTAAATGACTGGTATTCATATATTTCAGAGCCAGTAAAATACTAGATTCATAGAAATGTTGGCATGTTTATATAGCATGATGTATTGGGAGAAAAGGTCTATGTGATTCCCATACCAAAATTTAGAAAAAAAACTTATAATTATGCCAGCAACAGTTTTAACCAAGATTTGTTTTGGTTTAATTCCATAGAATTTAGGGAATTACGTTATTTTTAAAATCGGATTCACCTAGAAACAAGTATGAAGAAACAGCTTTCAGCTGTATTAAAAAAATTAAATGTGTCCCACAGTTTGCAATATGCAATCTTTTATGCTGTCTTTTTTGAGTACCAGTTAAAGAAAAAGTATGTTACAGATAGCAGAAAAAATGTGGAATATATCATCCTTTTAAGGAAAAAAAGCAAATTTTTAAATTCCATCATTTTTTGGTCGGTCGGTTGGTTGTTTTACTCTTAGGCAGCATTCTATTCAAATTTTCCTGCTATCTATATATCTAAAATCCTAATAGTATAATTGCTACAGGTAGAAAACAATCAGTAGCAAAAGTCAGTATTGCATTGTTGCACAGATTCCCATTTATCTGAAAATTATCTCTCAATTTCTGAAAACTGCACTGCGATCTATGATGCAAATATTTTATTATATATAATCACTGGACTTGCAAGTTTGTTACTTGTTTTACCCAGTTCTTTGGCAAGAGCTTTTGTGGGTGATTTGTGTATTAAAAGGGTTCTTGGGGTGAGAAAAAAACTAATTGTTGTGGAACAAATTTGTATTTGTAATAAACAGATGACTCAAATGGCTATGAATTATTTCTTTTAATAGAAACTAGTCATATTTCTATTATGTATTTTATAATTCTAGTCTGAAGAACTTCAGAACTCCGGTCTGAAATTTCAAACTGGAGGATGTCATTGCCTTATCCCATGCCCTGAGAATTTGCACCAAATTTTACACGTGTGTTTTAAACGAAAGCTCAGTCTCAGTGCTTCAGATGACGTTTGATTGAGCAAGGAACAGCCTGGTTAAAACCAAATGAAGTCCAGTCCTGAGCAACAGTTTTAATTTTAGAGGCTAGAAAAGAAAATCAGAATTGCATTCTCTTTCCCCCATTCTTCAGGAATGTAGTTTAAATGTCAGTTCAGTAGCCTGAATTTGTACTTCAAGATCTGATTTATAAATCAGTGTTAAGGAACTTTGTTTTAAAAAGAGATCAATACTGAAGTAGAAAGCCCACTAGTAGGTTCTCTGAAGCCAAACTTGTGAAGTCAAGTTTTTTGCTTGTCCAAAAATTAGTAATAATTGAATTATGAAAATATTACAAGTTACCACATAGAACCTTGTTCAACTAAAGAACCCAAGGGTCAAATCCAAAAAGTAACTTAAACATACTGGCTAGTATGCTTTGTTCAGTACTGTTTTGTAGCCCATATTTTACTCTTTCCAATCCTACTTTACAGTCTGTATTTTATTCTTTCCAATTCAACAGAATATTGTAAATTAGATACTGGGACAAACAATTGTGTATCTATGTATGCTTAGCAGGATAGCTTTTTATAAAAAGAAAAGAGCTAAATGTGGTGTGTTAAGAGAATAGGAAAACAGTTCCTCCCTTTATGTATTTTTATTGTTTGGAAGAATTTAAGACAAAAAGGTATCTTAAGCCTTATATAGAATTCTTAATAGTACCTGCCACCAAATGAGACTACATTTCTTAATCCCCACTCTCAAGTGATGTTATGAGCTATGGTCCCAACCTGCAGCTTCAGGAAGGACTAGTGCCAGAATGCACTATTAAAAAAGGTGTATGGAAAGATGCATTTAAGTTCACTCCTAAAGATACTTTGCTCCAACAATTGTAATGAAAATCAGATCAGTACTTTCTCTTGAAGAACAACAACTGGGGAAAGATAGTAGGTGAGATGGAAGATATTTGACTTTTTCTTCATGAGAATCTGTTGGTTGTTTTGTTGCATTAGAATAATTAATTTTGACTAATCAGAATTTGGTTCTATCAATATAATATCAAGCATTTTTATGAACCTTACACACATTGCACTGTTGTTTTTTTCAAAAGACATTGATATATTATAAACTGCAGTATATAAACTGTCAGAATTGCAGGTACTCGTGGTTGACTGAAAGTTTCTTGTTTCTTACTTCCATAGACAGTTAAAACACTGGTTTGCCAATCTGTTTTCAGATATCCAGCGAATTCTCTTTAGTCCACATCCTGTGCTGCAGACAGTTCATTTTCAGCTTCAATGTTTGCCTTCTCCATTCTACTACTGCAGACATCTTTACTGGATAACTTTCTCATTTTAATATTTGGTAGCTTCTTCAAGTCACCATCCCAGTCTCTGGTAGAAACGGAAGAAAAATGACAAGCATTAGATGATGGAAACTATAATATTTATATTGACGATCAATCATTTCTCCTATTTTAAAACAAAAAAGATTGGAAAGAACACTGGAATAAACCCAGCTAATTCAAAGAGATGTTTTCAAAAGACTACTGAAATTCCTATGATGCAGGAAACACAGGAAAACTACTATGTATACTCTAAAATGGGTGTACAATACTTAAATAAATATGACACCCACACCAAATTAAAGAAAAACCAAAATATTCTGGGTCCAATTTATATGTAAAATGGCTCAACCTTCTTTATAAACTGATCCTAACTATTGTAGCCTAGGGAAAGTATCTCAAAAGAAAATTTGCATTATCTGAAGAAATTTTGCTAATACAACCTTCCATCTCTGTTTTTCAATTAATTTCTTCCTGGATTTTGTTATTTGGGACAGAAATTAATGTGCACTGCTCTCTCAAAGCTCATCAGCTTCTGCAGTTGACTTCTTCTAAAACGGGAATGACCCAACCTTNAATAATAATAATAATAATAATAATAATAATAATAATAATAATAATAATAATAATAATAATAATAATAATAATAATAATAATAATAAAGTTGGAAGGGACCTTGGAGGTCATCGAGTCCAACCCCCTGCTCAGGCAGGAAACCCTATACCATTTCAGACAAATGGCTGTCCAGCCTCTTCTTAAAAACTTCCAGTGTTGGAGCATTCACCACTTCTGGAGGCAGGTTGTTCCACTGGTTAATTGTTCTAACTGTCAGGAAGTTTCTCCTTAGTTCTAGGTTGCTTCTCTCCTTGATTAGTTTCCACCCGTTGCTTCTCGTCCTGCCTTCAGGCGCCTTGGAGAATAGCTTGACTCCCTCTTCTTTGTGGCAGCCCCTGAGATATTGGAACACTGCTATCATGTCCCCCCTCATCCTTCTCTTCGTTAAACTAGATATACCCAATTCCAGCAACCGTTCCTTATATGTTTTAGCCTCCAGTCAAACAAGCTTAAGCCTAACCCTAAATGGATTTCCATCTAAATAGGATTTCCCCAGGCATTGTGTCAAGCAATTAAAATAACATCAAGAATAACATTTTATTTTTTTATAAAAGTCTAATACTAATACAGTTAAAAATAGAGAAAAAGGCAAAGATATACAAATATATAAACCTTCAATTTTTACATGTTTTCAGTTTATTTCTGAATTACAGTACATCAATTGAATGTTATTAAATGATAAATTCCTATATTTATAAAGTAATATTCTTTATAACACAAGGAATCACAATACGATGTTCAAAATGTTTTATTATTTGAAACTGATATGATGTATACCATTGTTGGAAAATAGACTGTTCATACTAAATTACTTGGGACTAAAAGATTGTGTCCTCTTTTGAAAATAGACAGAAATTATCCTGGAGTAATGTATCCCTGCCCGTCCCATTTGGAGGTAGTTAGAAAATAACTCACCTGAAATATCGAAGATGTTTACAGTTTACAATGTCAGGGATTTCTGTGGAAAGAAATTGAATCTATATCAAGCAATAGATTAAAAGTAAGGAAATTAAAAGATTAGTGATCTTCAACTGTCTTGTTATTTTGTTAATGACCAACTCATCTTGTTTATTTTGCTCATTTTGGAAATTAAAACTGATTCATCAAAATATCTTATTTCAAATTTATAGGATATCCCAACAATACATTCAAAAGGATGGATATTAGATTTACTTTGTTAGCAATGTAAAAAAAAAAATCTGATCATCATTTACTCATATGATTTGGTCTTCTGAATCTTTGAAATATTTTTGGAATAATATTTTAGAATGGAATGGAATGAAATAATAGAAATAGAAATAATAGAAATAGAAATAAAAATAGAACAGAACAGAACAGAAGCTGGAAGGACCTTGGAGGTCTTCTAGTCCAGCCCCCTGCTCAAGCAGGAGAATCTATACCATCTCAGACAAGTGACTGTCTAGTCTCTTCTTAAAAATCTCCAGTGATGGAGCGCCCATGATTTCTGGAGGCAAGCTGCTCCACTGGTTAATTGTCCTCACTGTTAGGAAGTTTTTCCTTAATTCCAGGTTGCTTCTCTCTTTGGTCAGTTTCCAACCATTATTTCTTGTCCTTGCCTCTGGTGCTTTGGAGAATAGTTTGACGCCCTCTTCTTTGTGGCAGCCCCTCAAATACTGGAATACTGCTATCATGTCACCCCTATTTCTTTTTAGACTAGCCAAACCCAAGTCCTGCAGCCGTTCTTCATATGTTTTAGTCTCCAGGCCTTTGATCATTTTAATTGCTCTTCTCTGAACTTTTTCCAAGGTCTCAATATTTTTTTTGTAATATGGTGACCAAAATTGGTTGCAGTATATTTTAATGTGTAGATTCATAGGGAATATGTTTGTGTTAAAGATATTAGTATGTTAAATTATATCCCAGAAGTTTGGCATTTGACTGATGAGTTATGGTTGTATTAGGCCATCAATGCTAATTATTCTGAGGATTTGAAATAGTGCTACAGGTAGTCTCAATTTATAACCATTCATTTAATGACTGTTCGAAGTTACAATGGCCCTAAAAAAAGTAAATTATGATCAGTCATTGTACTTACAACTATGACAATATCCCATAGTCAAGTGATCAAAATTTGGGTAATTAGCAACTGGCATGTATTTCCGACAACTGCAGCACCTTGGAGGGCCTATGACTGCCATTTGCTAGCTTCCAACAAGCAAACTCAATGGAGGAAGCCAGATTTGATTTGATTTAACAACTGCAGTGATTCACCTAATAACAGTGGGCAAAAAAGGTCGTAAACTTAAGCATGACTCATTTAACAGTCAACTCTCTTAGCAGTGGAAATTCTGGTCCCAGTTGTGGTTTTTAAGTCGAAGACTACCTGTGTTCTTGATATTAAACTGGATTCACGAGAAGTGGGACTTACTGTTTTTGAAAAGGCAATCTTATTAGTCAAAAAATGACTCAATATATTTCTCTGTGGCATATTTTATAATGTTAGCGACTCATTTAAAAACTTATTTCATAGATAGATAGATAGATAGATAGATGGATGGATGGATGGATGGATGGATGGATGGATGGATGGATGGATGGATGGATGGATGGATGGACGGACGGACGGACGGACAGATAGATAGATAGACAGATGATAGGTAGATAGATGATAGGTATTTAGGTAGGTAGGTAGGTAGATATAGATAGGTAGATGATAGACAGATATAGATGATAGATAGATAGATGATAGCTAGATAGCTAGATAGATAGCTAGATAGATAGCTAGATAGATAGCTAGATAGATAGATAGATAGATAGATAGATAGATAGATAGATAGATAGATAGATAACCTTTATTGTCATTTTTTACTGTGGGCACAATGGCACACATTAAAATGAAATTTAGTTGCTTGCTCTCAAAGTGTACACATACATAACACACATTTAAACATACTATATACAACATATGTATAGACCTACACCCTTACATATAAGTAACATATAAATATTAATCACTGTCCATCTTGAATACAAGCAGAAGGAGGAAGCTTTAGAGTTCACAAGATTAATACTGTATGGAATTTGACATTTGATTAACATTTTACAAATATAAACAGTTTCCACCTTTCTGTTAGTTTGCTTGCTTATTTGGTTTCGTTTTGGTAGTTTTTTCATATATTTCTTTCCTTTTTTGTGCATTTGTTCTATTTTTTTCTGTAAAATTTGTTAAAATAAAATATTTAAATTTTTAAAAATGCAAGAGGCACATTAATATACTGTTAGAAAACCTGGTGACAAGACAACAAAGAAAAGATCTCTCCAAATTTTAACAATATTAGCAGCAACATTTTGCTACCCTAATTTGTTAAAATGAAGAAAGCTTAAGATAAGCTTTTTCCCAAATGTTGTTTTCCTCCATTATTAAAAACAAATTTCTGGTTTCGGAAGTGTTAATTCCAGGCATCACACCATGTTCCATTTGATAGAACTTGTGGTTGGATTACAAAACTAAATGACATCCCATAAATCCAAGTTTGCACATATCTGCCTTATCTAGCTTCAACTTGCTAGTAAAAGACATGGGCTTGGACTAAAAATTTAATCCTGGCAAAGCAGGGTAATTCAGTTGCATTCAAAAATTTGTCGATGGTTCCATAAATTACAGCTTTTGAGCTCTAATATCAAACTCTAATATTTTAAAATCAAGATTACAAAAAAGCCATAACTGAAGTTTTTAAAACATAGTTATTGCCTCATATTTTTTTTTTTAAAAAAGAGAGGCATTGGAATATAGGTCTAGACCAGGGGTGAGGAACCTTGGCCCTTTTACGACTTGTGGACTTCAACTCCCAGAATTCCCCAGCCAGTAAGACATGGGACAGGAAGGATGCCTCTGGTCCTGCATGGAGCATGACCACTGGAAGTGACTGTCTAAGGCAGGGGTGGGGAACCTGGGCCCTTTTACGACTTGTGGATTTCAACTCCCAGAATTCCTGAGCCAGCCAGTTGAAGTCCACAAGTCGTAAAAGGGCCCAGGTTCCCCACCCCTGGTCTAGACAGAGAATTAGATAAATCAGAAACACTGAGAATTTGCATATAAATCAGATTTGACTTCAATCTTAAGAAGCTCAAGTTGACAGAAAGAAATGTTATCACACCAAGTGAATATGCACCTCTTGTTCTCTGGATGTCTCTATTTGTGTTTATTAGATTATGTACATGTACTATATTAAGTACTTTATCAGGAGAAAACTGTATTTGCCACAAAGAAAAAAAATACATGCTGCCCTACCGAAGATATTATTTTAACCAATTAAGCAACTTTAATCAATTAGTCTAATTTACCACTTAAATGTTTCACATCAAATTTGGAAAAGCACCTAATTTTTCCAGATAAAATTGTAATTAACTGATAAGAGAAAATAATGAATGGTGAACACTGGGAAAGAAAGGGAACTCACACCATTGAATGGGCATTTCTTCTCAATAAAAGACAATAGAAATATTACCATTTCTAATAACACTGTCTAGCAGTATAAACCATTTTTCTCAAATTAGAACCAAATTAACAAAGAGAGAGAGAGAGAGATTGAATTTTTCAAACAAACTCATCTAAACTTGTATCAATTTATCAGAAACAAGATAATACTGGCCATCTATTTTTATTAAAGAATATTCTGCATGCATCAAATTAACTACCATAATTTGGAAGGGCTTACACAGATTACCCACCCTGCAGCTTTCTTCAGTAAAATAAATGATTTGAGAAGCTGATATCTGAATGTCAAACTCATGTAAAGTCCAACAGCATACAGAGAATAAAGTATGAGTAATATATGAGAAAACAATTAACTTTTATTTACATGTGTTACTGTTCTTTTATGCAGAGTTCTTATATTCTGGGCACATTTTAATAACAGATTACTTTTTAGCACAGCATACCGATGCCATAGCCTTCATATTGCTGTCGTTCACGTTCCATAGTCTGCTTGATTACGGTTTCCCTGGAACTATGCTGTCTGGACTGTCGTCCTTTAATGCTGTTGTGCAGTTCAATCTGCTCCAACTCATCACGAAATCTCTGCAAATAACTAAAACACAATAAACTGTCATTTTAGGAACATTATTTTTTTTAAAAGTAATACTTCTCAATTATTTAGAAACAGTAAATTGTCTTGAATATTAAATAAAGAATATATACAAAAATACTGATATTTAAAATTATGAAGGGAATATAAGAAGCAAGGTACTTCTCTGTCCTAATCTCATTAACCATCCAGATTTTAAACAGCAATTTGACAACAAAAGAATTAATAGCATAGCTTTCTTTAGCAGGAAAAGATTTTAAAAAAGCAAAATATATATACAGTATACTCTCAAACTACTCTGTGTATGTTGCAAACTAAGGTTGCTTTTTAATTTCAGCTCATATTTAAAATAAATAACAGTTCGTTTACAAAATCCAGAAACAGGATATTTGAAGCTAAAGATATCTTCAAAAGTTGTCTACAAATATTACACAACAAGTATGCATTATTCCAGAAAACAATTATATTAGAACAGTTAATTTAACTGTTTCTAATTACTTATGATAATTAACATATATGAAATGTTAAAATTACACTGTGTGAATAAATACCAAAGATGGCATATACCAACTGATGTTCTAGTATATCACACAGAACAGGGTATTGTTTTGAATTTGAAAAACATACCAAGCAGATAAAATTATGAACATCAACTCAACATTCTTGTTCCAAACACAGAACACTTTGTTCACTTGCTATAAACCTACTTTTCTACTAATTCAGAAGCTTCTTTTTTTGTGTATTCCATTTTGTCAGGATCAAGGTGGTGTTGAAACCAAAGCAATTTTTCACCTACAAAAAAACAAAAAACAAAAATAAAAGTTCACGGTTCATTCTGATATCCAATATTTCTATTAAATATAACAGGAATGTTAATTATTCCAATTCATTAACATATCCAATGCATTAAAAACATCTATTTTAGCTACTGATCACAAATACTCTTTTTAAAAAGAAAAAAACCACTTAAATCATGAAAAAAATCATATATATGTATGAAAAAAGCATATCACATAATTTTTGAAGCACATTTGTTTAATGTAGGCACAAAGTCACATGCGAGATTATACAAGTGTATACTTCTACATGTACATGAACATATCAGTAAGATATTTGTAAAATCTATAAAAATGTAAACAAAACTATTGTATTATACAGTTGTAAACAAAACTATGTATTATACAGTTTAATAATTTCCTGCCCATCTTTGAAGTTGTTTTCATGTT